ATAGTATGCGTCATTGATAAGATTACTACTATAAGAAATTGAAACTTTTCAGTATCTTGGGGAAAAAAAAACAATACCTCAAATTACTCACTTAAAAGTGAGTGTATTGCATATTGTTAAGCACTGTTTGACCATTATTACTACATTACTGAACTTTCCAGATCTATCTTCAGCCCGAGATAGTCCAAAGACAAAGAGCTGAGGTTAGCATCTTTAATTTAAGGACAGTGGTTGCTATGGAGAAGTAAACAGCTCACATCCTAAGACTCCCTTGTGATATTAGAGTTTAACAATATTGGGGGATGATGGGTACCAAGGAAATCATAGATTTATGGATAAGTTTTTTTTGGAAGCAGAGATTGTCTAGAAAAGAATGGTAGAGAATATGGAGCTATAACTCCCCTCTAAATTACTGGTAAACATCAGATACAGACACTCTGTTAAGAAAACACATATTAGAACTTTGACAGAAAATCATAAAGTCAGGCTTCAATATGGTCTCCATATAGAACTGCTGGAAAAAATCAGAAATAAAAAATGTTTTGGACACTTTCACTGTTGTGGATTGTACATCTCAGTTTTGAAAGTAACATGTTATTTTTTCACAACATTATGTCACTTGGGATAGAGAACAGATGGAATTTGGAAACAGTGCACAGAAGGAGAACAGGGTACAGTTGAGAAGGAAGATATTCAAATAGTTTTGTCACAGCAATAGTATTGCTACCATTGTCAATAAACAAAACACAGCATAGGATTGAAATGCCAACATTGTGTTGACAGTTCTTGTTATAGAGTGATGAAACTACTTAAATAAATTAAATTAAAAAATATTTTAGTTCCTCTGGAATCAATGAGTAGAATTCTTTATTGGCTTGATACTGATTCATAATTAAAAAATAGGAAATAGTCAATTCAAAGTTACTATTAGAAGTCAATCAATATTATGGAATAATATAATATTATGCTCTATTTTCTTAGTTGAAATGAGAATTATAGAAAAAGGGCCAGTAGTTACATAATTTGAACATCATCAAAAGTACTATCCACAATAAAGTCACACCTAAAATAATTTAATAGACATAAAAACGATAATGGTTTGAAAAATTATCAGGCAGATTTTGTGATCATGCTTTTTGACATGTAAAACTGTCATAAAATTGGTTATATGGAGTCGTTATTTTTATATTCTAACAGACTATTATATATTTAGATTCTGTTGTATTATCAATTTTGCTGAAAATTAATCTAATTTATTGAGTGTTTCTTACTTCATTACCTTGACTGATAATGAGTAGAAGCAACACATTTTAATATGAAGGACAATTTTTTTGTTTGTTTTTGTTTTTCGAGACAGGGTTTCTCTGTGGCTTTGGACCCTGTCCTGGAACTAGCTCTGTAGACCAGGCTGATCTCGAACTCACAGAGATCCGCCTGCCTCTGCCTCCCGAGTGCTGGGATTAAAGGCATGCGCCACCACCGCCCGGCCCAATTTCAAATTTTAAAACATATATGCCAAAAGACATTTATAACTATACTCATCAAATTAATTCATATCAAGACTTTTTTCTTCTGGATTCTAAAAATGTGAATTCAGATATTCAATTCTATTATGACATTCTTTTAGTCTAGATACCAGATATCGATAGATATATATCAAATATATAATAGATCTGACTCTGAAAATAGCATATTTGAAAAAATAATAAAAATTTTCTCTAATAAAATCATTTTAATCTGAAGGTAATAATCATTTCTAATAATGCTACTATTTTTTATCAATTAATTTTACTGGTTTTGTTGCACTATACATTTTTCTCTTCTCCAACCCCTTCCTTCCCTCCCTCCTCTCTCCTCTATATTAAGATAACTTTCTGCTTTCCCAAGGGTAATGATATTACTTTTATAATTTACATATATAAACATAAACTGGAGGGTATATTTCCTAATGCATATCACTTTTAGATAAAATACATTTTGGGAGAACATTAATGTATACAGACATGACTATTGAAATAAAACTATTTCAAAGCTTACATCTGCATTTCATAGCTTGGAAAACATTTTTTAAATTTGTTATTATTGGGTAACTTCAGGGCATTTTTTGTATGTATGCAGTGTATTTTGAGTATATTCCCTCAAATATATACTGCCACCTTACCGTTTCAGGGTCCTCCCCTTCTAGTGCTTCCAAATAACTTCACTTCTACTTTCATGCTAACATCTACCCATATAAGTGCTTTTCTGAAACATATTATTTTATCCAAATTTATCAGAGTAATTTGTAAGGAAATAAAAAATACTCATTTGAAGTATACATTTGAAGTCTGACTTCCAAAATTTGTCTATAAGTTTATAATCACCATGTTTTCAAGATAATTAAATAGCCCTGTATTTCTACTTATTCCAACCACAATGACCACAGATTTATGAGAAATTTACATATGTTTTGTTTGTGTATGTGTGTTTGTGTGTGTGTGCGTGTGTGTGTGTGTGTGTGTGTGTGTGTGTGTGTGTGTGTTAGGAGGAATTAACTCACACAAAAAGTAGTGGAGAAACACTTTTAAAGTTGATTGTAAATACCTTTTAATATCAGAAAAGTCACCTGAAAACATACATACAAGTTACATTATACAGATTGGATAGATTACATTTAGGAATATGTATTACATTTACATTTATGCATGCTATAGCAATTCAAGAAAAGGGGTCATGCATGTGAAGGGGATATATGTGAAAACAGATATATGGAAGAATTTGGAGGTAGGAAAGGAAAGTGATTAAATGTTATTACTATAGTATCAAAAAAAAGAAAAAGTTAAAAATATTGTTCATAAAATGAACTCTGAGTAGGAGCATAAGGGAAGTGTAATCAAAATTATAGTGTTTGAAAAACCCATATGGAAACCTCTCATTTCATAAGCATATTAAAATATAATATGTAAAAGAGTTTGGTTCAAAACTTGCCTAGTGCCTCTGTGCTGTAGAAAGCTCATGACCTTGAGGGTATGTGGCTTAATCACCTTCCAAAGATGCCTTATTCCCAAGATGAACCACAGCATATAGCATTCATTATTGGATTACTTCCAAAGGCCCTGAGGACCCTGGAGCGAATGGTTTAGAAAAATATCTGATAAAGACTCAAGAAGAAATAGGCATAGAAGCAAGTCATTTGATTTTAATTAAGAGGTTCAGAATGGGGCTCAGTTATGGTGACATGAAAAAGCCTAAAATCATCATTTATTAGTTGGAAGAGTTGAAAGACTATGAGGTACTGATCTATATCTCCTCAGAGCATCAAGCACATCTGGCTAGGGTTGGATGAGGCCTGCTATTTGTTCAGTTCAAGTGGATGAGGGCACTGCTTCAAGAGGACACATTTCTCTGCCCTACACCCTCCTGAGCCAAACACATAGTATGCTATTCTTTCACAGTATCCTCAAGGGTCTTGAGATGAACCCGTCTTTCCATTCAGGGAAAGGATAGTTGATCTTTGGTTTGTTACAGTCAAGACCAAATAGGATGGTGAAATTAAAATTAGCTTAGGACTCAGGTGAGAGCACATAAGCCCTGGATTCAATCTCTAGCATAGAATACAATCACTTTAAACAGAAAACCGTAAGTGAAAATTTTAGCTTAAAAAAACATCAAAAAGGGTAAAAGTTTGAAAATACCAGCCCCATTATGTATATCTTTGTACTCTACAAATAAACATTAAGCAGGTTAAAGATTAGATAGATAGATAGATAGATAGATAGATAGATAGATGTATGGATGGATATATGAGAGATAGGTAGATAAAGCAAGCCAAAACAGTTGAACAAAGATAATGTCAAAGGGTGGTTAATGCTTCTCTAAGAAGCAAAATGTTAGTAATCCTAACCCTAGTACTAGGTGTGGGACACTTTCCTACATGTTTCTATATTTATGCTGATTTGAAAAGGTAATAATATATAGGGACGTTAGATGAATGAATAAATTATTTTTTTTATTTTTCTATGGTTATCTAAAACATTAAAAAGGCATTATTTTTAATATTATTCTTGTAAAATTGCCTTGACACATTAGAAATGAACAATTTAAGAAAAGGTATTTTCAAAAAAATGTGCATGTATACCTATCAATCATATTAAATTATTTTCATAGAATTTTTCTTTATTAATTCATTTTTAGGCTACCTGTGTGTGTGCCTGTCTATATATGTAAAACCTATGTGTAGGATATTGAAGAGGCCAGAAAAGGGCACTGGGTATTATCAGACTAGAGTAGCAGACAGTTGTTAGCCCTCATGTTGGTGCTAGAAATAGAACCAGGTGCTCTGCTCTTAATTGTTGTTTTACCTCTTCAGCTCATCAAATTTTTATTTGCCACAGACATTAAAGATTGTTACAAATAAAAAGCCAATAACAAATTATTAAGTTAAATGTCACTTTGAATTTAACAATCCAGTGTATAGACTCTTATTTAATAATTCTCTTATTTCCAAAAATACTCAAGTGTTTAAATGCAATTTGTATTATCAATTTTATTTGAAGGTCTTGCAAGATTAAAGTTATGGGAAATTTTAATAATAACCAGTGCAAATAAAATGACGAGACAAGTAATGGGTAGTTTACCATATTTTAATATAGGTTTAGTGAACTATTTCTGTTTTTTTTTTCTCAGATAAATGAGCTAAATAAAATGAGAAAATGGCCTCTTGCCATTCTCTGTGCTCCAATAAAAGACTGATTTGAAATTCCTATTATTGAAGTTCAAGATTATTACCATGTGATGCAAAATCACACAATGCACAAACATTTCTAATGATACTGGACACTAAAATCTATGCAGCCTTCCATAGTCTATATATTTAAATAAACATATAAACCTACAGAGATTCAAATACACATTGATCTATGCTAAATGTCTTGGCCAACCTGGTAAATATAAAAGCAGCTCATCAGTGTGTCAGTTTTTCTATTCACAGTGAATGAGAGTAAAAGAATAGCAATTTTTTTTATCCTCATGTGTATTTATTTCCCAAGGACCCGAGGCCCCTGTGCATTAAAGTCTTTATCTGCTGACCTGCAGATGACCTGTTTCACCCTGGTCCTCCACCACTGAAGAGTTAGCTTCCTATCACACAGCAAAGACCTTCAGCACACAACATTCAGAGCTAGAGCTGGGTAAGTCCTGCCCTTAGTCTCTCCAGCGATGTCTGCACTGAGCATTGCAGCACTTGTAGAAGGTGGTCATTGGCTCATCTGCGGAACGGGTCTGAAGCTGCATGAAATAGGCACGGGGATGTTCACATTTTGGACATGGCTCTGCAGTGGAGTCCACGTTCTCCCAGGCAGCTGCTCCCCCAAGCACATCATCCACCTCTTTCAGCTTTGGATACTTTCGGTTTGTTACCTTGCGTGTGATATTATGCACGTAGGGGCAAGTGTTGCAGGCGAAGCGATGGCAACGCTGTCCTTCCTCCACAATCAGTCCGTTTCCGCAGCATTGCTCCAGCTTCAGCGTAAAGGTTCTCAATGTCTGGCGCTTCCGCCGCCGCAGACGCCCATTGGAATCGGTCAAGAATAGCAAAATTTATAAATCAGACATGACTATAATCTTTCCCTTTCTCATCACATTACTTTCAATGTTTGATGTGGTATTAACATTAAAATTCGTTGTGCCCTCTAATACAAACAAGATAATGTGGTCCTAAATAAATTTGTAAAATATTTCAAGCCTTAAAACATTAAGATTATGAATAAACCAAAATTTTTCTTGGTTTTAATGTTACTAAAAACCTCTCAAACATCTTCCTTTCACAAATGATTTGCAGTTATCTATTACTTCAGAATTAAATAACTAGATCACAATTTTTGTTTAGTTTTGTTATAACTTTCTTTTTTATTTATTCTTTATGTCTTTCACGTCATGCCTTCTGATACCACCCTCCTTTTTTGTGTTAACTCTTTTTAGGGCTGATCAGCAAATCCAGATCACTACACTTACTAGATAGTGTTCTTTCACTGAACTACATTCCGAGTGCACCTTTTTTCCAGTCTTTTAAAACTACAAATTATATTTTTTTAAAAAAGTAAGTAGAACAAATTAACTGAGAAAATGTTCAACAATAAATATTTCAACTAAATAATAATTAATAAAATCAACATTGAAGAAGACCACTTGTTAACTGTTGAACTAAAGACACTTGTTCAGCCATGTTCATAGCATATTTATTTATAATAACCAGAAACTAGAAACAACATAGATTTCCCTTAAGTACAGAATGAATAAATAAAATATGGTACATTTACACAGCGGAATATTACACAGCTCTTAACAGCATCATGAAATTTGCAGGCAAATGGATGAAACTAGAAAAATATCACCCTGTGTGAGGTAACCCGATCCATAAATATGACAAACATGGTATGTACTCCATTATAAGTGGATATTAGCTGTTATTAAAGGACAATTACTATAATTAATCCACAGACCCAGAAAGGCTAAGTAACAAAGAGGGCATTAAGGGGAACAGATGGATCACCCTGAGAAGGTGAAAAAGTATAAGCAGGTGGGCATGTGAACAAGAGGGATCATGTGGGGGAAAGGGAAATGGGGAGAAACTATTGGGAGGCATGACTGGAAATGGGTGGTATTTTGTAGGCAATGAAGAGAGACTTAGTGAAGTGAAAACTTCCTGGAACTTATCAGGGTGACCCAAGCAAGGAGTCTTAGTAATGGAGGACACGGAACCTGAACCAGCTATCTTCTGTAACCAGGAAAGACTTTCAGTTGTGGTACTGAGGCATTAACCCAACTACAAAATCTATGTACAAACTGCCCTGCCTGCAGTATATGCTGGGGCAGTGATGGTGAATTGGTACTTGTGGGAGTGGCCAAAAAATAATTGGTCTAATTTGAAGCCCACTCCAGGAGAGAGTCCCTATGCCCAACCCTGTCTTGGTGGCCAGGAAGCGGAAGCTGAACAGCCCTGAGACTTAGGAACCACCCAAAAATATCAATAAAATTATTCATAATGATATTTGCTATACTTATAGATTGGTGCCTAGTCCAATCATTGGAAGAGGGGCTTCCTCAGACTGCTAATGGAAGCAGATGAAGAGAACCACAGTCAAACATTAGGCAGAACCCTATGAAAGAGGAGGAAGAAAGATTATAGGAGCCAAGGACACCAAGAGAACATGGCCCACAGAATCAACTAAACAGGGCTCATAGAAAAATCACAGAGAATAAAGTGATAATCTCAGAGCTTGCATGGGTCTGTATTAGGACTTGTACATATATGCTATGGTTGTTTAGCTTGAAAATTTTGTGAAAATCTTAGCAGTGGGAGTGGAGGTATCTCTCTTTTGTCTGATATTAGGGACTCTTTTCCTCCTACTAGGTTGCCATGTCCAGCATTGATACAAGGGTTTGTGTGTAGCAATACTGCATCTTGCTCTGCTTAGTTGGGTGGATATCCCTGAAAGGCTTACTCTTTTCTGAAGTGTCATAGAGGAGGAGTGGATGGTTGTGGGGGAGAATGAGAGGAGGTGGAGGGAGGAGAAACTGTAGTTGGGATGTATTGTATAAGAGAAGATTAAATAGAAAGAAAAAAAACATTTTATTTGATTCAAATCAATATATCTCAGTAATATATGTGTTATAAAATAAATTTTCTCTTTAAAGTTTTTTTTGCATAATTACATAATGATAAATATTTAAATAATTATAAGTCAAGTATACTTGGGAATATGTGAACATGAAACCATCAAACAAAAGATTATAAATATCCAGAGAAAACCTAAAAGGCATTATTCATTTTACCATATGCCCAAAATACACAGTAGAAATATTTATTGAAAACTTCACCATCTAGCATTTTTTCAACCTAATCTTACAAAATGGAAAATTTGTATATGATTACATAATCATGACATTATTTTCTGTTGGTACTAGTGTTATAGGATTTGTGTTTTCTTTTATGTAACCTCTTAATTAAATGGCCTTTTAAATATGTTGACCATAATACAAGTCTTAGAGATTTTATTTTTATTTCTTTCATTCTTTTGTTTAGCCATGCATGTTGATATTTCAGATGTAAGAGTTTTAGATGGTAAGGTCCTCATCAATGACATAGTGAGTTTCAGACCAGGCTTACTACTTTGAACCAATCTCAAAACAAAATTGTTCAAAAATTCTGCCTTTTTGTTACCTAAATAAAGCTGAAATATTTCTACTTTATTTGAATTAGTCAGTCTTTCAATGAAACAATCAGGATAAATACTATCAAAGTATCACAGAAGGCTTTAAAAATGATTCACTTCCTGTACATGAGTGGGATCTGAGAAGCATTATCACAAACTGGATGTAATCAACATTCTTTGTTGTTGAGATTTTGTCACCACATAGCTCAGGCTCTAAGCTCTGCTCTGTTACTCACTGATATATGATTTTCTTTGATTTTGCTTTCTCCTCTGTGGTAAATCACACCATTGGGGGTTTAGTAACAGTGGAAGTCTGTATATCTGTAGAGTTCTTTAAGTACTTATTAAATGATAATTCCTTTCCTTATATCTTTCCTATTAGATAAGATTTAAAGTGCATTTAAGAATATTTTCAAGGATTGGAAAGACCGTATAGTCTAGAAAAATACAGGAAAAAAAAAACTTTACTAGATAATTCATTACTATACCAAACTTTCCACGATAAGCAATTCAAGGTATGTAAAAAAACTTTGCTTAAAAATTTAAAAAGAAATTTTGCAGGAGATTATGAAATAATGAAAATCAGCAGGAGAATACTTTTCATATTTAAATCACAATAGGTCCTATAATATTTGATTTTTTAAAAAGTAGAAAGTAAAAGAGGTGCACATTTTCAATAGAAAGATAAAAGAATTCCATAAGGAGTGGCAGAACACAGCAAACAAAACTCAGAATGATAAACTAAGGCATGTGGTATGGTTATATTGGAATTTACTGATCTCGTTAGTTGTGTAGTATACAAAATTAATCTCCATATGGAAAAGAGCCAAAACTGCCATCAAAATTTAAGATTCCATGGCATTCCAACTCAATTATAGGAAAACCCTAGATTTCCTACATATAGCTCATCACTACATATAAACAAGTATGTAATAAAGACAATTACAAGTATTCCTATTGTTGAAGCATTCATCTAACAACTCTTACTTTGTAAATAATAATTTAATGAATATTAAAGAAACAAAGCTAGTTCAAACAAAAGAAATGTAGGCAAAATGGGCATATAAATTAGCACTTGTCTTATTTGTCTTAACATTACACTGCCAAAATAAAGTAATATGGTAAAAATAGATGTTCAGAAAAATACCTTTATGAAAATAAATATTCAAATAAAATTAAAAAAAAACTTGTAAGAATTTCTCAGTAATAATCTCAGCATGTTAATTGATATTTATAGTCCTATCACTTTGGAAGCTGATGCAGCAGGATTAATGCAAGTTGGAGTGAAGCCTAAGATATAGAATGTGATTCTATGTTAAAGAATATTCCCAAATTCAGCTTATAACTAGTCTGAGCATGCCACAAAAGCTAATGACATGAGTTGGAATCCTGAGATACAGTAGAAAGGGAAGTGACTCCCAACAGCTGTCCTCTGACATTCTCATATATATATTGAGATGTATGCCTGCATAACTGCACACACACACACACACAAACACACATGCACAAATGTGTTTTTTTTAATTTTTATTATTTAAAAAGATGTTTAAATTTAAATATATTTTGATCATAGTCTTTCCCTTCTCCAAGTTATTCCAGATCCTCTTGTCCTCCCTACCCACAGAACTTCAATGGTGACAAGAGATGACCAGTTGAGACTCACTCTCCCCTACTACTTTGAGTTTCACTTAGATCACCTTCATATATGTATATATATATATATATATATATATATATATATATATATATCTGCTATATTAGGTTTCAATACTACCTCTCAGTTGTTACTTAATTTTAGCTCTCTCATATTCCTTCCAACTATCACTTCTACCTTTCTGATTCCTATTTGATCCCCCAATTTCAGATCCCCATTTATTCATAATATCTATTCTATTTCACTTTCCTAATAAAGTCTACTTATTCACTCTAGCCCCTTAATCTATACCTACTTTCTATTCTATGGGTTATAGCATGATTAAGACTGAATTAAAATCTAATATCCACATAAAAGTGAGTACATACCATATTTGTCTTTCTGGATCAAAGTTAACCTCACAGAGGATAACTTTTTTCTATTTCCATCCATTTGATACAAATTTTATGATGTCATTTTTAATGGTTGAGAAATACTCCTTTATGTAATGGTACCACATTTTCTTTATCCATTCTTATGATTAAGGACATCTAAATTGTTTCCAAATTCTGCCTATGATAAAGAGAACAACAATGAATATGTTTTCCCAAGTGTCTCTGTGTTATAATAAAGCAACTTTTGTGCACATACCCAAGAGTGGTATAATTGGATCGTGAGGAATATCAATTCTCATCTTTCTAAGAAACCACCACACTGATTTGTATAGTGGTTCTACAAATTTTCATGCCCAATAATAATATATGAATGCTGCTTTTGTTCCATATCCTTGCCAGGAAGAATTATCACGAATATAATTATCTTAGTAATTCTAACAGATGTAAGATGGAATCTCAAAGTAGTTCTGATTTGCATTTCCATGGTGACTAAGGATTTTTAATATTTCTTTAGATTGTGGCATTTTTTTCTTGATACCTAGTTTCCTGAAATCATTGTATATTTTGTATATAAGCACTCTATCAGATCTGTAGTTGGTAAAAATATTTACCTATTCTTTAGGCTGCCAATGTTTGAATAACAATGTCCTGTGCCAGGCAGAGGTTTTGCAGTTTTATAAGATGCCATTGATTAATTATAGATCTTAGTCTCTGTGCTAATGGTGGTTTGTTCAGAAAGTCTTCTCCTGTGTCAATGAGTTCAATACAATTTTTCACTTTCTGTATATCTTGTTTTATGTTGGGGTTTTTGATCTAATTGGACTTGAATTTAATGCAGACCGATAGATATGAATTCTTTTATATACAAATATCCAGCTGGTTTTAGTTATCTTGACTTTTTGTGTTTCCACATGGATCTGAAGATTATCCTTTCAATGACTAAATAAATTGCATTCAAATTTTGATGGAGATTGCATTGAATATGTAGATTGTTTTTGGTAGAATGGCCATTTTTACTGTGTTAATCCTTTTGATCCATGAGCATATGGAAGATCTTCTTATCTTCTGATGTTTTCTTCAATTTCTTTCTTCAGTTACAAGAAGTTTTTATCTTACAAGTCTTTAACTTGCGTTGGTAGACATATCCTTAAAATATTTTATAGTATTTGAGTCTATTTTGAATGGTGTTGCTTCCCTGACTTCTTTCTCAGACAATTTATCATTTGCAAATAGAAAGGGTACTGATTTTTGTGAGTTAGTTTTGTATACAGATACTTTGCTGAATGTATAATACTAATTTTTTTAAATGCATGCAAGTCTTCAACATTTTTTTCTGAGAAACAATTAAAGTAGAAGAATGACCATAACAGAATATGTAGGAAATTATGGTTAAAGTGGGATTGTGGGTTTTTTTTTCTGCATGATATGGGTATTCTTACAAATGGAATATTACAGTCTTTTAGTAGTATAGATTTTATATATTATCTCTGCCTTCAGATTAATTAATATTTGCTTTTTATACTTATGTGCTCTGATACTAAGTACACGTATGTATTTACAAATTTGTCTTCTTGATGAAGATCTCTCTAACATGTTATAGTGACGTAGTTTCCATTTACAGATTTAAATGTATATTTGATGTGAAATGTAATTATGTTTAATTACTTTGAATGCCACTTGTATGGATTTTTTTATTTATTCACTTTCAGTCCATGTACCCTTTTAAAAATGACACATCTCTTGTAGATTGCATTAACTTAGCCAGGTTTTATGGTTTTTATCCATATATTCATTCTGCATCTTTTATTTTTAATGTATATGCATGTGTGAAGTCTCTTGTTAAGTCCAGAGCTCACTGATGCACAATCTTTTCTCTAGCCAACTTTACCCACAAACCTCTTGTCTATGACTACTGAGTACTGGGATTATAGGTGAGTATCAGGCCTGCCCAACTTTTACATGAGTTGAAAGTTTGCGTGTGCATGTGAGCACATGTGTGTGTGTGTTTAAAAGTCACTTACTTGCAATCATACACAAAGAGATTACATTAAATACAAAGTGATGAAAGTCAAATAAGATGTATAGTAGAACTAAATTAATGATATAAGTGTCTTTGGGTATTTCACTTATATAAGATGACATAGTTAAGAAAAATGTCATTGGATTATATATAAATATATTTTATTTTTACACCATCCTGTGAACTTGAACTTACTAAAAAGCAAAAGTTCAAAATATAAGATTTATCGAACTTGGAGTTTTGAGCAGTGAATCTTTGTTTGATTTCTCTTAGCATTAAGGAATTTCTAGTTCTGTAAATACTTTTTCCATTATAAAGTTAAAATAGTTATATTTAAACATGTTTCATTATCATTGTTTTGCACATGAACATTTTAAAGTTGTTTCACCTTAGACTATCAGCAAAGAAGATTTCAGCAAATCTCACTCATAAGAATGGATTTTCTGGTCTAAAAGCAATCCTTAAGATCTAGGGGGAAAGTTCTGATATAAGTAAAAACAAAAACTCCGAGAGTTATGGGCAAAACCTTTCTCACCAGACAGCAAGGTCACCAGGTTGCAAACTACAACATTCCTGGAATTCCAGGAAAAGCAGCTATACACCTCATTTCATTGATGTGATAAGTGATGTGCTTAACTTTCCTGACTTATCCTGTGCCTATATCTGATTGCACAAGGTCCTTTGTCCCCTACAGGATTGAGGTTCCAAATACTCAAGATTCAACTGTTAGTTGTACTCTTTGACTATAGATCTTGCTTCTTGTTAGTCAGCAAATGATATTCTGGTTAAATATTCCCTTCATGGGTAAGAAAAAAGACAAACTGAAAGAAGTCACTAATCTACTGACATGGCTCATCTGTACCCACATCAGCTAACCATTACTGTCTGGTCTACAAGGTTCTGTCCAGCGTCCACAGAAAGGCCACAATGTACCTGTGAGGACAAATAAAAAGGCAGGAAGAACATGCAATTTTCTGAGGAAAAGTAGACAACTACAAGCTTCAAACATCTGCACAAAATATATAATCCTTCTGCATTGCATAGCTCACTGTGGCACAGATCGGCAATCACCACAATGTTTTAGGCATGGCAGTGCTTGATCAACTTCTCCTGAGATAGGTATGGGTGGCACTTGATCTTGCTAACTGTGGGCTTATATTTGAAGCTGATTTGTTTATGATCCTCTCAGTTGAAGTTAAAGACATGAACTTCTTTAACCAGACCATCATCGACTAACTGCCCCATGACCATCCCAAGTGTCCACAAAATACATGCCATAGTTAGGATTTCTATTGCTATGAAGAGACACCATTACCATGGCAAATTTTTTAAAAAGAAAAGCATTTAATTGAAGTGGCAATTTACAGTTTCAGAAGTTTAGTCTGTTATCATTGTGACAGAGAACACAGTGGTGTTAAAGTAGACATCGTGCTAGGTACAGCTTGGTCAAATAGCAACAGGAAATAGACTCTGTTGAGGGAAGTGTGAGCAAAAGAGACCTCAATCCTGGCCCCCATAGTAACACACTTCCTCCAACAAGGCCACACCCACTCCAACGATGCCACACCTCCTAATTGTACCATTTAATTTGGGGTCTCTTTCTTTTCAAACCACTGCACTCAGTGTCACTGTGAAGCATGTAGTCTGATACACCCAGTTGGAAATAGGTTTAAGTCTTAAGGCTGTTGAGCAGTGAATATGTTAGAGACTCAAGTAATCCAGCTTCAGGTTACTAGATATGTTCTAGTATTCTCTTTCATTGTGCCTTTGTTGTAGAATGTACACCAATATTTCAGAGATAAACTAGCCGGGCACTGCAAACGCAGACTGTTGCTCCTCTTTCTACAGAGTGGCACCAAATGTGGTAACTAAATCCACTTAAAAACCTGAGAGGGTTTTTAAAAATGGGAGAGAGATTTTAACACAGCTTTTTGCTGCTTGCTAAGACATGACATAGAGAGATTTCCTGTTTCAACAATAGCGGCAGGGGAAAAAAAGCCACGCTATTTTAAAATGCAGCTTCCTGGGCTGTGCTGCCAGTACAAACTCTGGCAATAAAGCATTTCAAATGGTTTTTATGGGACTGGATGTTTGTGTGTCCATTCGGATCAGAAGAAAGTATTCTGAGACCATGCCAATGGCTCAGTGCTCCCTGCCTGCACCAGGACAGATGGCAGGATCAGGCTTAGGCAAGCAAGAGAGCATGAGGGATCTCTGCTGCCATACAGAGAGACATTTCCAGGCTGTGAAGTGCTCTGCATGGCCGATTTGGTTGTAACTCAGATAGAAAGAGTTTCTGTGCTGCACGCTCAGTCTCAGAGATAAACTGCTGAGTATGGCTCCTACCTGGTGGCCCCAGAGTTGCAGAAATGGTACATTCACCATTTTGAAATTGGAGAGAGGTGGAGCCAACATCCAGAGCATCCCACCACTCTGCAGCAAAGAGGCACAACTGATTCAGAGTCACAAGCAGCTCTGCCATGTTGGACTGGATGGGGCAAGCCTGCAGTACCTGTTTTTGACCTAGGAATGTCACAGATTAGATTCTTAAGCACTTAGTAATTTAAAAGCACAAAGCAAAATGTTCCTGGACAGTAAAAAATTACAGACAATGCATTAGGACAGATTCAGATATAAAAGACCTCTAAATGGGTCATAGTGTTAGATAGACATATGTAGGCTTGGGAGAGAGAAGAAAAAGAATACAGAGAATAAAGTTAATGACTTAAAAAATGTAACGCCTTTAAGAGACAGAGTATAAATAGTTATAGATTAAAAGAAATAAAGAAAGATAAGTCATGTAGAAATGGAAAATTCACAGAAAGTTTGTATTCTGTATATTGTATTTTCTTTGAATTTTTTGACTGTGAAGGAGCTAAATACAGAAAGACATTTCATTGTGTGGGCTGATCCAACATGTATGTTTTAAAGGTATAATGACTTAAGAATTTGGGACTAAGGATATGATGCTTTCAAAAAGAGGATCATCTTTTGTTTTCACAGAGTATGAGACCCTATGGATTGTTTCTATCCCAATATGGTATGATAAACCATGCCCTCCTGAAAAGTTGCTGTGAAAACCCTCAAAAAATTACTTCACTCAACTGCAGACTGAGATGAACCTAACACACAGGATAAATGATAAAAGACCTAATTAACAGCACCCCTATAGAGCAGGAAGAAGTTTGGAGAGAAATAACTATGTCTATATTCCCAGATATTGAATATAAATGTTCTTTTACATTTGAAGGGAGATATAATATAGATACAAATAATTTACATTGATATAAATTTTTATTTATTAATATAAATTTAAGGTCAAATTTTGTTATATGTATATGTGTTTCTGCTCTTGATTGAGGTATTGTGATTGTGTAGTTCATTTAAAAATGTAGTGTATAATTAGGAAATATAGGTTGTTAATGGATAATCATCAATGATAGTCAAATTTGTAGTAATGTTACTTGGATTTTCTGGATATATAGACATATATTTAAGTTAGATAGGCATTCTTCATATCTTTCAAAGACTACAGAATATGGCATTGAACGTTTTAATAACAGGGCTTTTCATGATAATGAGACATGTCTGCTCCTGGCAGCACCAATCTACTTCAAGAGGAATATGGGCATTAAAGAGGCTACTTAGGGAGTTTGTTAGTCATTTTGGCAAGAAACTACTCTTGTCTGGATTGTTGTTGCATAAACTGGATACCAAGAATCTGCAGAGAGAGGACTGCTGAACTTGCTTAAAGATGGGATGATCCTTTGCGGTTCCTGCTTCATGAAAGAGTCTGCAAGACATTCTGCAGAACATCGCAGAAAGTGACTGAATTGTCTCTGAAATTTCCTGCTTCGTGGAAATGTCTGCTAGATACTATGGGCCTGTAGGCCAAAGATGGATGCTCCAACAGTACAGAGGAATTTTGGATGACTGTCCAGACAATGAGATGTCTCTATCATTTCTAGGGTTTTGGAAGTTGCTTACTTCTTGTTTACTTAGGTAATATCATATCCTTCTGGAGTCTTTGATGAAGCTGAAGAATGGTTAGTTATAGTTGTTGCGGGAGCTCCTTCAGCCAATAGCTGCTGAGATACCAGCCCACTGGGGCGTGGTCTCACTCCCTTTATAAAAGCATCCATTTCCCTCTTCTCACACTCTGGCTTCCGGCTCCTCTCCCAGTGAGTAGGCTCCATTCCTAATTGCGCAGAGGGCTGTTGTCTGGAACAGTAATCTGTAAGTTCTTCCCCCTTAAAATAAATAACCACTCTAATAATCATAATTCCAAACTGGTGTGGGATTGTTTGTGACTTACACCTTCATATAGTTATAGTTTTCCTTAGTTATAATAAAAGATAAAATAGATCTAAATATTATAACTGTAATTCTTCCTTGATAACTGTTTTGTTATATGTAGTTTTACTATGTTAAAGTGAAAGCCTTTCTTTTTTTGTTTAAACAGAAAAAGGGGAAATGATGTAGGAGGGTCTTCTGTTTTGTGTTGATTTCATTGGTTAAATAAAGAAGCTTCTTTGGCCTTTTTGATAGATGGGCCCTTAGGTGGGTAGAGTAGACAGAACAGAATTCTGGGAGAAATAAAGCAAAGTCATGCAGACACCATGATTCTCTGACTTGAGACAGACTTAGGGTAGGATCTTTCCCGGTAAGCCACCTCCTCATGGTGCTACACAGATTATTAGAAATGGGTTAATCAATATGTGAGAATTAGCCAATAAGAGGCTAGAACTAATGGGCCAGGCATTGTTTAAATGAATACAGTTTCCATGTAATTATTTCGGGGATTAGCTAGGTGGCCAGGTACTGGGAGTTATGCAGCCCACTCACTGCTTATTTTTGCAACAGCAAGATACAAAATCAACTCAAAAAAATACTAGCCTTCATATATACAAAGGGTAAGAAGGCTGAAAGAGAAAAATCAGAGATACATCACCTATCACAATAGCCACAAATAGCGTAAAGTATCTTGGGGTAACACTAACCATGGAAGTGAAAGACTTATTTGACAAGAACTTTAATTCTTTGAAGAAAGAAATTGAAGAAGATACCAGAAAATGGAATGATCTCCCATGATCTTGAATTTTTAGGATCAAGATTGTAAAAATGGCAGTCCTACCAAAGGCAATCTATAGATTCAATGCAATCCCCATCAAAATCACAACAAAATTCTTCACAGATCTTGAGAGAACAATAATCAACTTTATATGGAAAAACAAAAAAACCCAGGATAGCCAAAACAATCCCATACAATAAAGGAACTTCCGGAGGCATTACCATCCCTGATTTTAAGCTCTATTACAGAGCTACAGTAATGAAAACAGCTTGGTATTGACAAAAAATCAGAGACATTGACCAATGGAATCAAATTGAAGACTTGGATGTTAATCCACACACCTATAAACACCTGAATTTTGACCAAGAAGCAAAAAAATAAAACCAAAAACAGTAAAAGAAAGAAACCATCTTTAACAAATGGTGCTGGCATAACTGGATGTTAACCTGTGGAAGAATGAAATAGATCCATATCTATCACCATGAACAAAACTCAAGTCCAAGTGGATTAAAGACTTCAATATAAATCCAACTACACTGAACCTGATAGAAGAGAATGTGGGAAGTAGCCCGGAATGCATGGGCACAGGAGACCATTTATTACGTATAACCCCAGTAGCACAGACTATAAGAGCAACAATAAATAAATGGGACCTCCTGAAACTGAGAAGCTTCTGTAAAGCAAAGGACACAGTCATTAAAACAAAAAGGCAACCTACTGAATGGGAGATCTTCACCAACCCCACATCAGACAAAGGACTGATATCCAAAATATATTAAAAAGAAAAACTCAAGAAACTAGACATTAAAATTCTAAATAACCCAATTAAAAAATGGGGTATTGAACTGAACAGGGAATTCTCAACAGAAGAATTTCAAATGGACAAAAGATACTTAAGGACATGTTCAACTAACTTCCTTAGCTATCAGGGAAATGCTAATCTAAACACCTTTGAGATACAGTCTTACACCTGTCAGAATGGCTAAAATAAAAAACACCAAAGACAGTCTATGCTGGAGAGGTTGTGGAGCAAGGGGAACACTCATCCATTGCTGATGGGAATGCAAACTTGTGAAACCACTTTGGAAATCAGTGTAGTAGCTTCTCAGAAAATTTGGAGTCAACCTACCTCAGGATCCAGCCATACCACTCTTGGGACTTAACCCAAGAGATGTCCAATCATACTACAAAGACATTTGTTCAACTATGTTCTTAGCAGCATTATTTGTAATAACCAGAACCCGAAAACAACCTAGATGCCCCTCAACTGAAATATGAATAAAGAAAGTGTGGCATATCTACACATTAGAGTACTACTCAGTGGTAAATATAAGGATATCTTGAGTTTTACATTCAAATGGATGGAAGTAGAAAATACTATCCTGAGTGGGATAACTCAAACCCCAAAATATCAATATGATACATACAATTCCAACTTTATAAAGCCCTGTATGCATCGACATTAAGAGCATTCTTATTTCTCCCCAGCATCTGCATATTAAATGAAGTTTGTTTCATTCCTGAACACCTCTCTGTTATGAAGATATTTGCAAGACACACATATGTATGAGTGTATGTATGTACAATGTAGATTAGTGTGATATGTGAGGTGTCTATCCAATAATATGTCTGTGCATGCACCTATGCACACATGTAGAAGTCAGAACAGGACTTTAGGTGTATTGTGCTATCACTGTCTTCCTTATTCCCTTGAAACAGTGTCTCTCACTGAAAATGAAGTTAGGATTACAGCTAGGAAACCTTAGTGATCCAACTGCCACTACCTCTCATACTCAGCATTTTAGGAGAGTACTGGGATCTAAGCTCAGTTCCTCAGCCTTGTGAAGCTAAAGCTCTTACCCATTGAGTGAGTTGTGTAGCTTCTGGGTTATGATTAAGGGTTATTAATTATGGACTCCCTTGCTCAAGCAAGTTACAAAATGTTATTCACCATAAATTACAGGAGACCTGGGAAATAGCTGTTTTAGCTCTCTCTTTGGGTGTTTTTCCTTGCTCATTAATAAAAATTGCTTGTAAACAGCTCATTTAACAATGTTATGCAAACGTTTTTCCTTGAAAATTATTATTGCCAACTGTTTAAGATAATAAGTAAACATAGGCTAATAGTTAATCACCTAGTATAATCGAACTTATTGTCTCATTAGGTATCGTCTCAAGGTAAAACAAAGATATATTTTAGATAGACAGGTCATCGTCAAATACTTCAGAGATATGCAGAATGTGGCATTTAAGATGCTTTAATAACACAGTCTCTTTTTATGACAATGAGACATGTCTTCTCCTAGCAGCACCAATCTACTTCAGAAAATATAATGGACATCAAAGAAACTCCACATGGAGTTTACTTTCTTTGTAGCAATAGTAAACCACTAGGCAAGAAAATGACCCTG